CACACACACACACACACACACACACACACACACACACACACACACACACACACACACCCCTACCAACCCACAACCTCCCCACACCAGGGCTCACCCTCCTCTTAAGGCCTCTTCCCCAGCAAAATCATCCCTGAACACCAACAGCTGGATTCCCACTGGAGCTGTGACTCATTCTGGCACTGCCCAAGCCAGCTACAAGTGGTGATTGACTATGGATATTTGCACGGCAGGGTAATCACAAACCCTTTTAATAGTACTATCAATTTGCTTGTCTGCAGAGTCTCTCCAAGCCACCAGAATTGCCTGCCAGAGAGAAAATACCTATTTGCGTGGGAAGTTACTGGCAGGACAACCTTTTAAATAGCCCATCCAAGCCTACAGCTGTAAGGAGAGAGAAAAAAAAAAAAAAAAAAAAAGTGATAAAACCCAGTGGTTTTGTTTCACTTTGCTTTAACATTTACACAGCCAAACAGATGGAAAGAAGGGTCATCTGACTATCTCTTTTTATGATTTTTTAAGACTCCCAAAGGCTAGCTGACCTCCTGGGCAATGAGATACAACATTAACTTCAGCTCTAACTTTTTGAAGTTCTTCCTATCTGCAATCAGAGACATCAAGGAGCATCTCACACACATTCGTGCCTAGGGTAATGTCGTATCCTCTTCCGTGGCAAAAGTCATCCTCACCACAAAACTGATCCACATATTGAAGATTATCATTTTAAAGGCTATTCAGCTAACTGGCTGCCTATTATATGACATATTTCTTACATTTCCCAATGGCCTTCTTAACTCTTGGCCAAGTTCTTCACATTATATGCAGTTCTACCCTAATTAACTCGGAATCAGTGGTTAATTAATTATAGCATAGCAATATTATTAAATTTTACCCATAGAAAAAGTTTCAAAGCACTATTGATATCTAATGCTTAAACAAATAAAATATACATAAAATGAATACAGTAATAACACAACAAATGAACTGGTGGGTTTAGATTTGAGGGGAAAAATCACTGTAACAAAGCTGACAGAAGTGACAACTCTCACATATATATGTAGATGACAAAAATATCACAAGGAAATAGAGTTTAAAATTTGCTTTGAAAGTCTCATGCATGTACGAGCTTCTGGACTTTCATTCCCATACAATGCAAATGCAACCACAAATGGTTGGACTACCTCAATGTTTTAAACAATGACAAATGCATTGAAGCTTTGCGATGTATTAAGAATAGGCACAGCAGTATAAGCAAAGGAAATCCTCCACCAAAAACAGCTTGCAGCTGATGCAATTATTGTAATAGAAACAGCTGAGGCTATCCTTGAGTTAAAACAAAAACCCAAAAAACTCCACTTTCTGAGAAAAAACTATACAAATCAAGTTTTGCAGTATGAAGCAGCCTACTTCACATAACTTACATCGCAGTATACAGTGCCATGCATATAGAAAAGAATACGCTTTCTAAGCAATAAGTTGTTCCAATAAAATAATAACAAAAACTCAGAAAATAGTCAAGGTAGAACTGAATTTTCCCCCTTTAGTGACTAAGAAAATAAACTCAGCTGTCAAGTACAGAAAGAAAATATATAAATTGCTGTCAACCTAATTGCTTGATCCCATATTGATATACAACTAATTTCTTCTTGGATTATAATTCATATCTTGCATAAAATATAAACATGCTGTCCTAGAATTAATAACCTCTGCTTTTACCCTTATCTAGTACTAGCAAAACCCATATTTCATTAAATTACTACCACAGCTGGTTTCCTTTAAAAGCTAGAACATATGCTGAAATAGATTTTTTTCCCCTTCAGTTCCACTAGGTTTCTGTTGAAATAAATCTATGACTTGATGTACAACTGAAATGCACTAACTGTCAGTTAGATCAATAAAAATATTTCACATTATTTCATACAACAGCCACATTTTAATCCTTCTATCTTGTACAATCATAACTGCTGCTTTTTTCTTGCTCTCTCTTCATGAGCATGCTGCTGCCCTAAGATTTCATATATGCTGAAATATTCCACTAAGATCTAAAATGCTGCCTACACACTTCTGTGCAAGCATTCAAGAACAACAACTTAAAATTATTACCTATTTCCTTTTAAATAAAGACAATGTGCAAAAGAAAGAAAATAATCACAGAGGTTAATAAGGAAAATATTCTGACCTCCATCACAGAACACGCATTTCATAAAGGATCGCTTTAATTTTATCTTCCTACAGCAAGCGCATAGGCAATGAATAAAGACATTTATTCAGATCTAGCAAGATGCACAGACTTGTTAGCAGAGATGAAAAAGTGGCTGATCACGTCCTTCACTCACTCGTCCCAGAGGGCATTCAGCCAAGCATGCATCGGAAAAATTGYTCCTCGTACCCTCCTTATACAATAATAAATAAGGCTGCTCGAGAAAGAAATACAAAGCTGTGATCAAGCAAACATTTCCTTCGAGCCTTCCCCTACCTTTTCACTGATATTTCCAAGCCGAAGCCAGTGTTTTCGGGGAGTCTCGCAAGGCTGGAAGCCGCGAGGTCTCATGTGGCATTCCCAGCTAACCACCACCTTCATCTGCCTGGATTTTAAGCATTCCAGAGAAAACCCACCCTGACATGCACAGAATGCATCCTGCTCAAGTTGGAAGCATGTGATAACTACGGTTCAGGTTTAAACAGGAAAGCCCAGCACTTAATTAATCCCAGCCATTTAAACAAGCCCCATCTTACCGTTTTGCTGTTGCCTTGATCAGGTCAGATCCACCGGCAACTCTTTGACATGTCTCTGGCGATAGTGTTTGCAGTCAGGCCGGGCTCATTCAGCAACTGAATTCACAACATCTTTCTGCACTAGCAAGCTGAAATGGTACGGCTGTACTACAGCTAAGAAAGGGGGAAATCTAAAGCAGAAAACAAAGAAATCCCTAAAGACAGGATAATCCCAGTGGAGCGGAATATAAAAGGTACAGATGAGCACCAAGGGTATAATATTTCTCTGTCTAAATTTCACCAGCAATACCACGCTCTTTCTAAAAAGATATGCACATATATATTTTAAAATACATGATGGACTTGCCTGTGGAGTTCCCAGAAAGGCGGACTATCCAGGCTCTGCAGCAGCATTGCAGCCAAAGTAACCGTGCATCTGCTATCTAGGCAATTTACAGCAGTCTTTTTGAAAAGATATTGATTTACAATGTAGCTCTGCCTCAACAGAATGCAGAACTGCAGCCAAAAGAGCTAATGGTGATTTCAGAGGAATTAAGGGAAAAAAACAACATTCAATCAAAAGGATGTAACTAATCATTCCCAATTCAATTACATCTCAGTCCTGAAGGAAACCAGTAAGTTTTCAAGTGACAAATGATACTAAAACAATAATCTAAGGGCATCTGGAAACAAGCAGTACAAGTGCCATTGTCCAACTGCATAAAAACCGTAGATATATATATATATTAAAAAAAACTGTTCTAAGCCAAAATATGAATTATGGAGTTAATTCTAGTACTGCAGTGATGAAACATAGTTATTTAGCTTTGGAATATCCAAAACACACCAGGCTGTGAGGGACAGACTCCTGCTCTGTGCCGGGAAGCCACTCGTGGAGCCAGGCACGGCCGGGAGCAAACCTGCACCCAGGGCTCCTCCAAAGGGAGGCGGCAAATCTCCTCCATCTCCTACTCCTGCAGCAGCCCCTGCTGGTCCACGCTTTAGGTGGCTCCCAATAGCCCAGAAACCTGCCTGGCCAAGGGCCGCGCGCGACGGAACACGCTAGGGAAGGGAATGGCGTATAATGGATAAGCGTAACCTTAAGAGGAAAAGCACAGCTCAAATGACAACCTGCACAGAGAAGTATCTTCTTGCTTTACCCAAAACTCACTGCAAAATCCAGCACCAAAAGGCAGTGTTTTTGCAAGGCTATGGCTTGCCCCAGGCCCTGGGCAACTCCAGCGCACTGTGCAGCAGGTCCCACCTTGACGGCAGCACAACACGCTTGAATTCCACACATTTGCCTGCTCTCCGCCACAGCCACCCAGACTTAAACATCCTGAAACACATCTTGACTCRCTAACTCCAGCTGCAGATCTTGGGAAGTTGTGTTTTCTCCTCATCTATTCCCCCATCTTGTCACAGGGGGTCTTTCCTCAAGACTACTCTGTTTCAGTATCTCAGCTTGGTTTTCCTTGGAAGCAGATAAAGGCTTCACCTTTCCTGAGAAAGTGAAAAGTTCATCTTTTAGGCAAAGCTTTCCTCCTCAGATGTCTCTAATGTTGAAGGTTCAAGGAAAACATGAAAAAGGCTTTCAAGTCGAAATGACAAAAAAAAAAATGTACATTTAAATGTTTACACTCTATTTCCTCATTCTGTCTACCCAAAATTGGCCCAAGGGAAAACAGACCCTCAGAAAACAGCTAGTGAGTGATCACCAAGATGAGCCAAAAGATAGACACCACATTAAGAAAACCATGGTGGACAGAAAATAGAAAAATAAAGGTCACAGAAAACAAATGCAACTTGCGAATGCAGGTGAGAGAAATAGGGGACTTTGTTCCCAAAGCAAGCAAGGCACTGGGAGGGAAGTCAAGGAGTCAGAGAGAAAGTCAAAAAAATCTATGAAGTAGCTGAAGTTAACATGAAGAAGCCAACCTCCCATATTTTAAAGTGAATTATCTTTACTGCATTCATAACTGTGGATTTATTACATTTTCCTGCCATAAATGTTGAGTGGGTAGAATGAAAGGATCTGAAAAGCAGATTTCATGGGCATAGTAAAAGTCTATTTTTGTTACAGACCCAGCATTTGTCTCAAACAGCCTGAACCTGAAGACTAGTTTCAATGAAACCAAGAGTAACTACATTACGTGGACAACTTCTCTTCTTCCTTCTCTCCTTACCGCCTTCCTTTCCCCTGTGCAAGTCCCAGCCCCATTCCTGGGGCTCCTGACCCCTTTTGCCAACTGCTTCACACCAGGACAGCTACGTGCTGCCCGTGCTACCACATATAGGATTCAAGCAGTGTAGACTGCAGCCAGGGCTGGGCTAGAACCACAGCAGGAATTAGTTAGTTTTGCTCTCTGGATCTCATAGAGCCCCCTACGTCATGGGGGCCATTTGTTTCTCAAGGGGCAGCAGAAGAGTGATTGAACCATAAAATATTTCAATATAAAAAAAGAAAAAAGACCAAATACCTATTTATTTATGTCTGAAAATTCTGCACAGAAGCCAGCTGCAAGTACAAGCTTCACATTATCAGTACTACCAAGTGGTGCCACCACTTTTCTTGCCCATTTTGGGCAGACTCCAAGATGCTCTGAGGCACTTGAGAACAATTTCTCATATATAAAGAGGCCTCATTTGAGCTTTTCAAGATAATAGATATACAGTCATTTGCAAATTACTATACTTAAAACAGACTGATTGCACAGTGTCACAGCGCTGATGGTCAATAAACTAAACATGAAATCCATCATTTATTAATACTGTACAGAGAAAAGATGTCAGTAGTTACTTTGCGTTCTGTGTAGGCATACTGCTCAAAGATTAGTTATAAATAATGTTCCATTTCCATTGGCCTTTACTAAGTCTTTTAAGAAAGAGGAGGAGAAAGAGGAAACAAGGGAAAAAGAAGGCTAGATGCAACTATACGCAATAGTACATGCAATGTTTGTACAAATATGATATGGACCAGAGCCCATTTCCTCCTCATAGAGGAAAGTATACAAGTAAGGAAAGCCACTACCCAATATACAGCTTTTAATTTTGATAGCTGCAGATTGAATGTATTACGAAAAAGAATAAACACAATTCACAAGTGGAAAATTATTCCCTTGTGAAAGTGATTTGGACATCTAGCCATTTAATAAGCCACTACTAATACGTCACTATAATTGATTGAACGAGATGTTTAACAAGTTGTATTAACAGCACTGGAAGGGACTGCACCTCTACAAGCCCAGCTCCCTGCTATCACTGGCCAAGAAGATGACTTTCCTGTGCTGATCAGTTTTCCTTTTGAAGTAAGCACAGTACTTGAGACACAACCTAAATAAATAAATAAATAAATAAATAAATAAATAAATAAATAAATAAATAAATAAATAAACCAACACCAGCAGTGACAAAAGTGTGCCAAATGCAAAGAAAATCACTTTTAACTTAAGATGGCAAGTGAAGCAGTAAATGCCATGCTTCACAAGGGAATGCGTGACAAGTCGTATTTCAACTACACCAACTGCATTATCTGCTATGGTGGGACTTCTTTTAAAAAGCCACTGCCCAAAATGAAATGCAATGTAATGCTTAGTGTCAAGTATCTCTGCAACTTTTAACTACAAAAATACCCATGTCTGCATGAATCGATTCCAAATATATTCTGCATTACATAAAATGTTTACCGTACAAGTTCAAAGGGCACAGCAACATGGAGAATATTGAGTAACAGTCTTACATATCCATAAAAAAAATYTCTAAATCACTTTAGCTAGATTTTCAACTCAGTGAAAGTGTTCTTTACACACAAAAGATGAAATCAATGACTTTGGACAATTATATTTTTTTTGCTCAACAGAAAAACCTTACTTCAATGCTCCTAGCAAATTCACATCTTCCTGTGAATAATAAGAGTGATACAACTACAGCAGGCTTGTTTTGTGGTTTATTTCTTATTGACATTGCTATATTTCTTGCTATGCTGGCAAAGACCTCATATAAACATAACAAACTACACTAAAAAAAACCCACATTGGTACAATGGTGCCTCTGCAATTTGGATTTGGTCTTTTAACTTCATTTAGGATTTCCTCTCAGGGAAGCTGATCATTATTTTCCACCTTTTTTTTTAGCTCTTTGTCAAAAGCTATTATGTAAGTACTATTTTGAAGAATTCTGTTAGCCTCAACTGTTACCCAGAAGTACTTAAAGAGAAGAAAATTAGATCTGTAGCGAGATCAGTAATTGGATAAGCCCCACTTTCCCAGGGATGTCTCTCTCTCATACCTAGAAAAAGGGTCCAGTAGACACAAATAGAATTTTATCTCAGCTAGAATTCATGCCTTAATAATATATTAAAATGGTCCTGAAGTGTCTGGAAAGAGGATGGAGTCTCTACCAAGTGTCAGATAAAATAATCTGAGATCTTGCTTCCCTGAATTCTTCTCCACCGGTTGAAAGACAGTAAAAAAGGAGTCAAACAGCAACAGTGTGATACAGCTATGTATGCTGTCAATATAGGCAACATTTCACTAAAGAAATGGAGGCATCTTAGCAATCCAAAAATGAAGATTCAGGGAAAAAAAAAAAAAGCAGAGTTTATAAGTGTATAAACTCTGTATAGATAGAAAGTGTATGTAGCGTGTATATTGCATACACACATACACACATAAGCTCCCTTTCTGGTGCAACCTCTTAATGCAACTAATACCTTGAATACAAAGATCACAATCTGGACTGTTCAGACAAAAACATTTCAATCCACATAGGCTATGCTTTTTTTCAGAAACACCACTAAGAACTGAAGCAGTGCAAAACTCATACGTACAAGCTCCATCTAGAAGATGTCAGCAATTAGTAAGATGGCTTAGCAGAGCAGCTTGAATTAGACTAACCCATGGCCTTAAACATACAGTTCCTTAAATCACATACTTCACAATTCTCCCATTTTCAACAATAACAACAATAAACATCTATGTATTCAGGAAGGGGCAGTAATATTTCTATTGCACAAATGTTAAGAAATAATACTAAAAACACCATTTGAAAAGGCTTTTTTTTTTCTTTAGGGAGTTTTTAAAAATTAACAATAGCCTTTTAACGTCTACCAGTACAATCCCCAGGGAAGAACCACTGAAAATGTTTCATTTTCACATTACAACTATTCCT